CCCCTCTAACCTACCTTGTGTCACTTTGAATAGCAGAAAAAATGTTTATATGTTTATATTAATTAAAGCGAACGCATTAAATAATTTGTAAGTAAATATGTATGATTACTTAAATTATGTTATGGACTACACCAATTATATAAGTTAAATGCCACGCACCAACCGGTGCGAGGAGGTGTGCTCCTTTGACATTACGTTGGTTCTCTCGCGTTCTACACTCCTACTGGTACATTAGCCGATCGATTTATCTTCCTTTCTTCCCATTTTTACTTCTTATATTTCCTTTTTGCTTCAGGCTTTTCTTCTTTTTCCTCGTTATAAAAAGATTTCGAGAATCCTTTATCGTTTCCTTGTTCATCAAAAAAAATTAGCTATCTTTTCGTTACTAGTCGCGATGGCACAGCAAAACAAGGATTTTTAATTTCTCCCAAAGAAAAAAAGAATTTACACGCCAATAAATCTGCGGGATGCCATTTTTTATTTATTGATTGGTTTTCTTGAAAACACAATTTAATTCTTTATGAGTCCCTTAAGAAAACACATACTTTTATTTAAATTTTATTTAACATTTGTTTATATTTAAAGAACTTATTAGGATGTTAATGCTACTTATGTCTGGTAATTAACTAACTTAGTTTTAAAGAACTGCCTTATAGGAAACCTTTGGGTTATCCAGTAATCGACAGTCAGCACTTTTATCAAAACGAAGTAATGAGATTGATGACAAGTGTTTATTGTAGGGGCAATATGAGATTGGTGAGAAGTGTTTACGATGCATTCGTATGACACTCGTTGTTTATGAAATGCTACCTTTGCTTATTTTATTTATTAGAGTGGTTCGTGAATTTATACTTTTTGTTAAGATGGTGCTTAACTTTTATGTAGACGTTATATACACAAAATAGATACGAAGAAGAACCGGACATACGGACTGCGTGCTGCTGAAGATAATTATATAGTTGATGACGTAACAATGACTAGAACTCCAAGTTGTTGTTTATATATATATATTTGTTAATACTGTCCGGCATCAAATCAAATATTACAAGGTCTAACCACATGTCAGGATTTAGTTGAGACTATTGTTTTTGCTGAGCTAAGTGGCTGTTTACATCGCTTTATTATTATAACATGAATTGTTTGTTGCTTTTACGGTTTTGCCGCTGTTGATTTGTTGTGGTTGTTTTATGGGATGTGTTGTCTTTGTTGGATCTACTGGTGGATCGCAGAACATGTATATATGTACAAACTAATATTGTACAGACTACAATTGAACTGTACAAACTAATATTGAACAAAGAAATTCTTCCTTAATCAATGGAATTTTCATTCGACAAACAACATAACATTCATCTAATTTAGGTATTCTCAGTGTTCAAAAATTCAATCAGCAGCGGTAAATAATTTTCGATAATAAGAATAACTTCCACGTCAGGTAACGAATCATATAAAGGTTCTGTCAGTATACTTTTCGTTCCATGAATGCAAACGCAACTGAATAAAATGGGATTCTTAAGAAGTAAAAGCAAAATAATGTTTGTTTGCTTCTATTACGATACTTCTAATACGGAAATTCCACAATAAACAATTTACTTGATATCGCTGGAATCGGTTTGAGCGATTGAATCACTTAAAAATTCCATTATTCCGAGCATTAAATAAGTACATAAGAAAGGAAACGACAAATAGGTGCCATAAGACTATAATGGACATGAAGAGTTTTGATAACACAAAAAGAGAAAGAAAAAAGGAATCGCTCACTCGATGAGTATAGCAGTAGCTACAGCGACCTTCATTGAAGCCGTTTATGTGCGAGCCGCTCGTTGAGCGCCATGCAATTAGTACGTAATCTAATTATATTACACAATAAAAAACTTTTAGTAATAAGCAACACAGTCAGTAATAAGCAATGATTCAATTCATTACTCGAAGCTATTTGGATATGGATGTGCTCATGGTCATACTTTCATCACTCATTTTCATAATGTTAGCGGTAAAAACGAACACACCTTCCTTGACTTCCACAACTCCGGCCTTGTTATGCAAACCTATTTTCCGGCAAAGCAAAACTACACAAAACGGCCAACGTTTTATTTCATATCAAACACTTAATTAATAATATCTTACGCACCAAAGTGAAATTCGGTATAACTATAAAAAAAAAAAAAAAATAATTAAGCGACAATATTGTTAAAGAAGCATATCAATTACCAAACAAAACTTAATCCAACATAAAAAAAGTGGCGCATTTAAGGCAAAAGGACCAAAAAACCTTTAATTTTATTTGGCTATTTAAATTTTATCTTTATTAATTTTTGCTTAGATACTACATTACACATATAGACTACGCACAATATTTGAATATATATTATAAATATACACTAAATATATAATAAACATATATATGTATATGTACATAATAAATATAAAAATATTCATCGGTGGTCCTAGCTTTTCCCTATTCAGCCACCCCTGTGTGCACATGGGTGCGTAGCCCGAAATGCAATTGCACTACCGCAAAAACAACAAGGACGAGGTGCCTAACTCCTAATTTCGACGAGGTCTTGGGCCGTCGTTACCCTACTAATAATAAATGGCTCCCACACTCTTCTCATGAAAGTCGAGTGGATTATAATGCCCCCCTTAATAACGCCGGTTATGATATTTTCCGTTGCATGCGGCCCAAGTCCAATTGCGGCTGGGAGCGCATCGTTTCGCGCACATTTTCATTTTACGAGATTAAGTTTGGCCCTTTATCGAGCAGAATCTTTCATATTTTTCATATATGATGATATATTTTTTATATGTTATTATATATCGTTCACTTCAATTAATTTCAATTAGTTTTACTTTAACCCGCAGATTTACGTGGCTTTGTGAGCGGTCCTCTGACCCCCGTGGTGCTTAAAGTTAGACTATAAAACCTTTAGCATTACTTTACGCGACTGAACGGGGTCAGACCACTTTTGCCTTCGGATTAACCGTACAATCCCGGGTAGCCAAAACTGGACTACCCTTCATCAAGATATTTTAGCTTCGGGCAAGCTACCATGCACTCACTAATTACTCCTTCCGTTAAAATACATATATATATATAGAGAGTTTGAAATAAGTCTCCTGGTTTATCTTTACATTAGCACCATTTTTATTGTTAGCGACCAACGTAGGTCTATGAAAGTATTAACTAATTGATTGACGGATCTAAATGCATCCTGATAAATTCGTTTTTTGTAGGGCGCTATTTCTATTGTAAATGAGCGACCAACAAATGTGATCCGAAAAAAAGTTATTATTGGGAAAATTTGCAGATATTGTTAAAATTTCCATTTTTGATTTCCGTTGGGCGCCATTTCTATTGTAAATGAGCGGCCAACCTAGTGTGCAATGTGTAGTTTCCATCTTTAAATTGTGAATCGCTTTCCCTCTTAATTTCACAGTATGGGATAAATATATATGTATAATAGATGGAGACTTGAATGCATTCTCGTTAGCCCGCCATTATTCTCATCTTCTTCGCTTCCGAAGTTTCCTATGGTCGAGTGCTAAAAAGATCACTTGGCATATCGGCGAGGTTTGAACTTTATTTCTCGACTCAATTCGACGAAATCTTGTCAGTAACGTTCCTTAGCGATGGTTTCGTTAAGGTGTAAGGGGCATCTCATTGTAGATCACTCCAAGCTGATTCCGCTAGATGCACAGCATTAGCTTGGACATACTCTGCGGATATCTTACATCACGTTGCCTTAGTGAATTGCAAAAACCCGAGATGTGTCAAAGTCAACAATATAAACGGATGGCTCGCGACCAACATATATGGAATTTAATTTAATCATGCCGAAATTACATCAACCGTTTACTAGTTCGTTTTTCGTTGGGCGCCATGTTTGTCACGGGCATAGCTCCAATTTAAAAAAGAAAGAGTAACAATGAAAGCTAAGAAATGAAGAGACAATGTTTGCTTATCAGAGTCTGAAAGTACGCTGCGTCATCCATTCGTGGAGATCTAAGTTCTTTTTCTGCATTTTCCAAACTTCGTGAAAGAAAAACTCTTGTATTATTTGTTTACATAAAATAAACTGCTTTGGTCGTTGAGATGGCCCAGAAGATGTCGATGTGATTAAGTACGATAAATAACTCAGGCATTTTAGAGGTGTTTTTATGCGTGAGATTCTTTACCCAAGAAACCATTAGCACAAGAATGTGGTGTTGTTAATCTAGATAATTCAAACGGTTGTGGAACACATTGAGTAGCTTATTATAAAAAATATTTAATAGTTTTTGAAATCTACAGCCGCCAATTGAAATGGGTAATTACTTAAAATCGCCCATCCAATGCAATTATAAGCGAAAGCAAAAATTGCACACTTTTAATTGGGGTCATTTATGCTTGAAATTTCTTTTCAACAAATATAATTAATAAATAAATAAGAAAAAATGTTTTTGTTTTTTAATTATCATTATTCTTTATTTTATAACGTCTCCATGCATAGGTATTAATACCATTCTCCGTTATAAACCTCTTATCACCCAAGTAGCTTAAAACTAGTTTATTAATATGTTGTGTATACAATTGATGTATCTTTGATCGAGAAACATACATGGAATCATAGTACAATTTGTTTTCAAATAAACACTTTCGAAAGTCATCAACGGCGGTTAGTTTAGCTGTAACACATTGTTTTACATCTTTGATTTTCTTGGTTTCTCTTGCATCCCAAGAGATTGCTTTTTTGGATTAAAGGTACAACTGTAAGCCAAACTGATCTAAGCAATAAACTCACGGGTGTCTCGTCTCTTCTTCCCATGACTGGATCAATGCAAACAACGTAAGCCATTCTAGTCAAAGTAAAGCGTTTAGTATAAGATGCCAGATTTTCCATTTCTAGCAAACTTGGCTGCGTTCGAATTTTGTTTTCTCTTTTTACACCAAGCAATTTATTCTTATATATAAAAAGGTTGTTGTCAACTTGCGGTTTCCCTTAGCTAGATGCCTCTTCCTTTCAAAAAGGGGTTCCACTCCATTCCAGATAATCGCTGTCGCTGCTACGCGTTTTTTTTTCTTCGAAAAGAAATTTTTTTTTTTTAAAAGCATTTATTAATACTTCGTCTTTTTTACGCTTCGTATCATCTGTTCACCAATTAATTCCTGCCAAAATCCCTTCCAGTGCACTTTTTTTTTTTTTTAGAAAAATTGTCTTCTTCTTTTCTTTAAGTTCGTTTTTTGTGCTCCTTTATATTTTGTCTCTCGGGCACTCCTCAAACGTTTGCACATACAAGAATAGCACACACTTATCCACGGACGGAAGAAATCTAGCTTGCCGAACGGGTAAGCTTTGGAGCTTTTTTTACCTGTCTATAGGTAACGCAACGTGTGAATATACGCTTGTGCACAAGAACCAACGATAGGAAAAACAGAAGAATTTACATTGGTGATGGCGTCATCCTATGTAATAACCTAAAATAAAGGTATATGGCTATATTTTTAATATTGAGTCTCCTTGCAGACAATTTTTGTTAATCCCCAGTCGCATAATGCATCTTTGTTATTTTATC